AGGAGCAAGTATTAGGTTTCTTTGCAGAGCTGTCATTATATCCAACCATCATTCTCCCATCATAAAGGGAGTCTTTTTTGCAGAATAGGCAAAGTAAGCACTGGCAGAAGTTTCATCTGGGCATGGAGCGTACCTCAAAAGATGGAAAAACCCTTCCTGTCCAGCAACTGTTACACTTTGACCATCACTGTCCTGATTGTTCACATGATCTCAAAAGAAGCCAAAGCACCAAGCCACAACGCCAAGCCGTACTTAAGTGTCTTGACCAATGCGGTTTGGATCTGATTTGAACATCAGATAATCACAGTAGCACAAGAAATGAACAAAGCAGGTTGTGAATAAAAAGCTGTTTCTCGCAGAATAACTCGTGGTAAGTACGAGTGGGGATAGATTGCATGAACGGCAGCGCAGAGCAGAAGAAATACCCCGATCGTGGCCCCTCGGAGTTGGTTTAATATCAAGTGCTGGCTCTCTGTGTCTCACGCACACACAAGCGCACACCAAGAACAGTGCAGCCTCAGACCTGGCAAGCGCCATTCGAGTTCTTGGAGCAGCTTTCTCTCTAATTTAAAGTTGATTGCCGTGGGCCCTCTGTGTGTGACTAGTGAAATATGAGTGTGGCGAAAGAGAGTACCAAGGCTTGGACTGAGTTTAGCTCTGTGTGCATGTGATTAAGGGGCTGGTGAACGCACACAAGTAGTGGATCCAATGAATGTATGTCTATGCAGGCGTGTATATGTGCTTGCGTGAGTCCGTGTGAAGGTCTAAGTGGAGCCTGTGCATATTTGTGTGTATGTGGTTTTTGGCCGGAGCTAGTGCAGAGATCTGAGTGCCAGGGAGAGCTGTCTGCAGGGAATCAAGCGGAGCCCAAGGCCAGCTGAATAACAGTGCCTTTCTCTAACTAGAATGAGGTGTTCCGAGGTGACTTTGACTCAATAGAGACATACTTCAAAATGAGCTGAAGTAAAGATGGAGTTAATAGGTGTAGGTCTGTAGTCTTAAACTGCAAAAAGGGGTAAGTTCAACGTGGAACAGATGTGGGGATTTGAATGCAACATTGGTGTGGAGGTGAATCACATCCCTGTGTCGGATAGGCAGCGCTGGGAGAAGTACTCAGATTTTTTACTTCAAATAAAGTAGAAATAATACAGTCTGAAAATACTTCGTTACAAGTAAACGTCCTACATTCAAAATGGTACTTAAGTACAAAAGTCTCATCGTCTAAATGTACTTAATGTATCAAAAGTATAAATACTATTTCAGCAGAAAGACACTTATCACAGTATGTAACATTATAGAATATTATTCTCTTTTTATCACTAACAAATACAAGAAAAAGCATTTTAATGTTTTAGTTTGTCAACCACTTTTACATACTTAAAATACAGGTTAATAGTTACTATAGGTGCTGCAAAAAGTATGATATTCCCTTCTTTAATGTAGCGGATTTGAAGTATAAAGTAGCAATAAATGTTAATACTTATGTAAAGCACAAGTACGTCAAAATAGTTAGTAAAGTATTTGATTAAAGTACTTAGGTAAAATACTTTCACAGTTATATTAGACCACTGCTGATTGATTATTTCTCCCTGAGCATTGAAATGATTGATTTTATAATCATTTGAAAGACATTTTAACGACTCCCACTCTTAACTGGAGCTACAGGTAAATTCAATGCGTTCTTCATAATAATGTTTTGAGTCAAAAGTTGGCTCGTTTTACTTTAAGTGCTAATCCAAGAACTGAAGTATGAGCCTTCCCCTTGGCTACACTACAGTTAAAATGACTACATAAAGCCACACTAAATGCATTGCATATGCTGCCTTCAAGCCTTTAAGGATGTTCCTTTTATTACATAGCATATTTTATATTCAATCTTTCTTACATCTTCACAGGCTTCAGAAGGCGTCATAATGTGTAATGTGTCAGCCATGTTCAGATTAAGATATTAAACTATTTTTCGGAAATCTGAGCACCTTGGATTTCCCTTTCTTTTTTGGATATCCCTGTGGTGCCAAAGTCCAAAGAGCACATTTGTTTGCCCAGCTCATAACAATCCTTTTACAGGTTTTTTTGGTCACAGTGTTTAAAAAGCAAAAATACACTCCAAGTTTCCTTTTATAGAGACAGAAGACTTGGGAATCCATGGTTAGGCCAGCTTCCCAAAGGCAAACCGTAAGGTGACTGGTCTCTTGTTTTTCTTACTCTCTGTAAATGTTCCTTCACACTGGTAAAGTGGTCAGGAGAGTGGGAGAGCTGGTGTTCTGCTGCTAAACGCCAGTTTTTCTTTCAAATTAGCTAAGGGAAATTTTCTGAATGGAGATACAAATATAGAAGTAGACAGCGAACTGTGGACCACTGAAAACATGGGACAGATTAACATTGCAAGACTGACTAAAGCACTTCTGTCTCTGTTTAACTGCCATATGGGAGTGTTGGGAGTAAATGAGCTCCAAGTGGTCAACAGACAGCCAACAAACAACAGACTATAAGTGTGAACTCTTCCCTTTAATCTCTCAAACAACAAACGGAGACAAACCACTTGCCTGCACACAGATTTTTGTGGTCCAATCACAGTCAAACAGCATAATGTGATCGGGACAACTTCACCCAAAAAGAAGGCAACACTGACACCTGACCGACAATCCTGTGCACTAAAAAAACACCTTAAGCAACTTCTGAACTTATTCCGACATACTTAAATCCTAATTAATCCAGAAATCCCCTCTGTTTTCAACATTTAAAGTAGCAGAGCGGAACAGCCACACAATCCTGAAAATGTTATTTTGGGTGCATACTCAAAAGACAGAGGAAGAATTCATCTTTAATCAAAACTGAGTTACGCTTGAATGGATGCAGCCTGATACCTGCGAACAAAACAAGCTTCACTAAGGCTTTCATACATAGATAAATTCTCATCACAACTTCACTGATAATAACAATAAGACTTTTTTAAAGCTCCTTTCAAGACACCCAAGGTCCTGCTTTACAAATAGAGATAAAACAAACAAGACAACAACTATAAAAGATTTCAATCATTCAAATGACTCAAAATGAAATGTTTCAATGCATAAGAATCTCATTGTGTGCCTCTTCAACTACATTTGCTGCAACATGTTTTTCTGTATCCCCTTGAACACACAGACTTGATAAAAACAAGTGTACACTGACAGGAACAACACGCATTTCGGGGAAAGGTTCAAATCCTGCCGCAAAATACACAATGTGCAATATTACATAGTGTTGAAGAGCGTAGAGTTCATATTCAAACCTCCTCCTGAAACCTTAAGGAAAACTTCCACAAATGAGCATTTCGTATGTCAATCAATCCATTGCCTTGAATTCTAAAAGAAAGATGTGTTTTTCTCTCATGCCTCCAAGAAGAACAAACAATCAGAAAACAGAGAAAGTCTTGATCTGGGCCGCTTTAATAACAGCAAGACACTATCCAAAGATGTTTATGACGTTTCATATGTTGCAGTGTAATCCACGTTTAATGTATCCAGTTTATAACCTCCAAAACACATACATTTTCACAAAAAATCTTACGGTTTTAAAAATGTCAGACGTGCATGGACGAGGAGTGTGAGACTCTTTCAGTGAATTGTTTTTATAAGTTCAGTTTAACAAATCATGCATGCACTGCTCTTATAAAACGCAGCCACCACATTATTCAATGAATCACAAATTGTCCGTTGTTTTATGGTTATCGCTCCAGCGTGCGAGAAACACAAAGTTGACATCAAGAAGTCAAGGTTAACATGACTTCTTGATGTAAAACATATTTTACAAGAGTAATATTCTTTTCACCTTGACTTTCTTGCTGGCTTTACACTTGACAAGGGTTGCATCTTCCTTTACATCATGAACTTTGACGCTTAAAATCGGGTAACACTTGAGAAAGACAAATACATTGGGGTAAATTGGATTGTAATTGGATGCAGGCTAGTCCTTCTGCCTTTCTCTACCTTCCCTCTCCTGAAACACCCCCAGGCTTCATCTTTCTGCTTGGTCTGTTTGCATTCCTGTTGAGCTCTATTTAAAGGCTTCATCCCTCCACTGGCTGGAGGAATGCACATCTGTAGAGAAACCCCGTCCCACTGTCTCTGTCTCTCTTTCTCTGGATGTGTGTCTGTGCAGTATTATGTTTCTAACTGCGGACTCGCAGCATTAACCTTTACTGCTGCCCCGGAACCATAATTGTGTATATAAATATACAAAAGGTAAGAGCCGGAAGAAGACTAATGTTGTTTATCACATCAACAAGTGCTTTTTGGTGACTCATTATGTTGTAGCTGTGTCCTTACACTGCAGAGTGTTTTCCAGGGCTGTGTAGAAGAAAACAAGTCCAGAAAAAGCCACAGCAACAACAGTGCTGTGATGTATTAAGATGTATATTAAAGAAATAAACAGTGTTGCATGTATTTAAAAAATACAGCTCAGAAACCACACTTGCCAACAATTAACACAAAGGATATAAGTCTATCAAATTCAAGATGTTTTTACAAATCCATTAGTTCGGAAAAAAAGAATATATATATTTTTTTTTCTTTAAAAATCAAAATTCCTGAAATACTAAATGTGCTTTATGGTGCAATTATCAACCTATAACGTTCAATAAGAATACATTTGGACCAAAAACACAGCTGTTGTAATCAACAAGTAAGAAAAACAACCCCAGTTTAGCTCATAATTATCAAACAATAAAATACATACATTATAGAATATTGCCATTAAGTCATGTGTGAGACATTACTATAAACCATATAAAAACATGTAATGTCACAAGTGTTTTTGGTGCCAAAGAAGCTAAAGTGGGAGCAACATGTAAGCTAGCAGCCTGACACATCCCCATCGAATAACATTGGAGTAAACTTCCCTCTGTTCCCTCCTGTCCCGGGTGAGTGAGGCGGATAAACTTTTCGCCCCACACGCGCGCAGCTTCCTAGCCGCTAATTCCCACTACCCCTGTTTTAACAGTTCAAAAACAACAAACTTACCTTGGAAAATCTCCCCGACTCAAACAGGCATTATTATGTTGTCGCCTTCCATAGTTGGGACTTTGTCGAGTTGTTCTTCAGCTCCCCAGGACGGACTACAGAGGGGCACGAGAGCAACAAAGTCGGACAGGCAGCAGGAGGCGGGGAGGAAGGAGGCCAGACATGTCTGCCGCCGCCTGGTTGGAGGAGCCGGCTGTCAATCATCCAGTTTAAGCGGGCGGGTCCTAACTGTAAAGGGATTATAGAGGCTGAGCTGTCAGCACTGTTCCCAGGTCTGAGGTCTGAGGAATGTGGCAGAGAAAAACAGATGGAGGCCTCCCGCAGCATCAGTTTTCATGGGAATGTTCAGCAAGGTGGTGATGGTTGGTAGAAAACTTCCAAAAATGTACTGAAATATGTATAATTTGAATTAATGCGGTCTTAGTTAATGGTGAATTTAGTGGATATCATGATGATATTACTGTATGCATGCCACTTCACCACTGACTGATTTACATTTTATTTGACTGTTCTTGTTCCATATTATTTTAAATGCCCTCTTATTTATTTAATAATTGTTCTAGTAGTCCAATTCTAAGTAACCTTTTGATTAATGATGATTTGTTTTGACATTAAAATAGGAGACAATGATTTCAAAAAGATAATTGCCAACATTGATGAAAAATGTTATGTATATTTAATATATACTGAATAACGTATATTATAACTTACATTTCAGCCTTTTTCTGGGAAGGACAAGTAGCAATTGGAATACATTATGAGTATAATGTGTTGCCAATGTGCACAAAAACACACTATAATCCACATTTGCTGTTTTCCTCGACCACCTCATTTCAACCAAATATATTTTAGTGGGCTTTAAATAGCTCTTTTTGAAAAAATAAGCTAGTCCATTTGCTATATTTATATATATATATGTATTGTTAATTCTACTTTATGAGACAGGACCCTGATTTATTTATGTATTTGTTATGTAGCTTACCTGTTATGTGATGAGTACAGGAACACATTAAACACATTAATGGTTCCAGTGATTTATGCTTTCGCAGACAATAAATTGCATGGCAGGAGCATCTCATTATCCAAAGCACTGACCTTTTATCCTCCTACTTGAATGTGCTGGGAAAAACACATCTGTCAATGTAACAGTCAGATGCAGCAATACAGCCTCGCAGCTATCTGATGCAAAATCAACACACAAAGGCGTTTGGGCGTCACAAAGGTAGGGTTCTATTGTAGTTGTGCCATATTGGTTTGCATTGTACAGGAGTGCCTTTTGAATTGTTAAACCATTTTACAGCACTATTCATGCATCAAAATAGCACCTTTTTATACATATTTACAGTATTTTACATAATTGTTATAGGTTCAATAACTTGCCTTCGAAGCAATCATACGTTAGAGTGACAATTTGATATGATAAAAATGAAAATGATTTGTTCTAATTATAAAACTGTACATGTATATATAACTATAAAAATATGTTAACACATTACAAAAGGGCAATAATTAACACATTAACAAACTGCTGCTTTGGTTGTCAGAATTTTACCATAATGGATTAGAAAATTCTCAATTATTAAATCACAGTGCTGATTTGACAGTTTGATCCCCTATAGCGGCATAGATACAAGTTTTGACCATATAAATAAATGCTGTTAAGCCATATAATTAACATGAAAGCGCCATAGAGGCTGTTTACTCCATTTTAGGCAAATTATTTGTGTCAATTGTACCTTTGACCTAGATAGACTGGACTAAAACAATAATAAAAAAATAAAAAAGTGGCTGTTGTTGTCCACCCAACTCGTGTGACAAGCAACACTGACGTCATTATTTTGTCAAAAGGGGGATTTCTATTTTGAGCCAATCCAGCAGCCCCCCTTACTGCTGCTGACCTGAACGTGTCATTAGGAACAGCAAATCCCAACCAACCAGAGAATTTAGTGACACCCCATTTACATATGTGTACATTCTCTTAAAAAAGTGATTTATTTTTATTTTGGTTATGTCAGGTTAGCATTAATTAAGATCTTATTTAATTTTTGAGGCTGCAGTTTGTGGTTTTGTTGGACTGAACTACATCTGCTCCTTTTTTTTATGACTGCCCGTCCACCTTCCTCTCTCTAACTGTATTTGTTTTTTCTGGCTGTGAAATGCACTCATTTAGCCTCCTCTACCACCTGTTGCATTATGGTGTTGCTTCCCTCTGCTGGGAATACTTACTCATTACAGGAGTCAAAAGTAAAATAAAATAATCTTATTTGCAGTTATCTAATGTGATTGATTGTGTGCTGTTGCAGGCATATTTGAGTGTATAGTATAGTATGTTTATATGCTGTTTAGAACGTTTTAACTAATTGAAACATTATTTTAATTGGTGTTTTGCAGCACTATGCTAATGAACAAGAAGCCCTCATTATTAAAGTACAACTTTCTCCCATGGATAAAGTAATGGAAGTGAACCTATTCACAGTGTTTAAAGCCTGAACCTGAAACACAGATTGTGTTCCCCGATTAAGTGTTTCATAAAAATCTGTTGACAGGTTTTTGATTCTGCCAAATTGCAGACAAACGACATATTCATGCAACTAACAATACACAAAGTCAAGACTCGAATCTGAGAGCTGAAAGAGTGGAACGTTTCATGAGAATTAAAGAAACAAAATATGTACAGTGACATTTACTTATAAAAGTGAGTAGGCCTATACCTTCCCCTCAAATAGCCCACACAAAATCACAGTGTATATTGACATACATAAGGTTGTTGGAATAAAATGTATTATTCCGCTACCTATTTTAAACTGTATTCATCATAGTAATTTGACTGTTAAGCATTGATCATAGTTACAGACCCACACAGGATTTTCACAAAACTCCTACTCGGCTTTTTGCCTCTTTTAGCTCATTGTTTTGGCTCGTTTCAGGTTCACCTCTCTCATTAGCAGCAGGAAGCTGTTTTCAGCTAATAGCTCCAATAAACATGATGTACAATGCTGGCACCAAACAGCATAGACAAAGTAAACCCAGATAGCTATACGTATTTCTTTCCATTTGTCATAAATGTTGTTGCCTTTTTATGACTTTTTTTTATTAGATAGCGTCAGAAGGTGATAAAATGTGGCTTAGATTGTGACCTTTCTATCAACAGCAATCTGTATGATAAATTCTGAAAATGTCTGCTCAAACACTTTTAATTTGTGTTGGCAATGGACCAGTGATTTGAGGTTAAAGGTGTGAAGTGGATTTCTTCTATGGTGGCTGACAGGCCAAAACAACGATACAAATATAAAACATAAATATGCCAAAACACATGCAAATGAATAACATCCCTGAATGTCAACCAGCCCTCCCGTCAACAAAAAGTCAACATATTGTAACTTCCGTATGAAAAGTCAACGGTGAATGCAACTGAATTTGCGTAACATACTTGATTTACGTATGTGCTTCCCTATGTAACTTAATTTATGAAATAAACGTTCCCTTATTCAACCCAAATCTTGCTCTTTTCAAATCAAGGGATGATGTCGCCAAGTACCTTTATTTTTCAATGTCAACCAAATGTTTAAAATGGAGTCAAATAAACTTCATATAGCATGCAGTTTGGTTGTATTGGATTGTAAGCCACATCTATAAATGATGACCCCTAGTCCTAGTGGATTAATTCCACTACGTTCTTGCTGACGTGAGTGCATTTTATTGCTGCTAACCGAACAGATAACCCCTCACATGATAACAAATGTTCTGGACAGGAAGTTAATGTTTCTAGAAGGATGTGTAATGTGGTTCTGCTGTGTGCCACAGTTTGCACTGTCTGTGACTCACCGCCTGCCAACAGGAGAAACCCACTGCACCAGAGTGCCCTGTTCACTCTTGTAAAGCAACTGAAACAATTGACATGCGCAGATTCACATATGACACTTTCAGGCTTCAAATCCACATAGCACACAAGAATGCAAACAGAGAAACACAATGGCACACAGCTGACACCTATTCACTGTGCCCAGTCTCACACATTCCCAAGCCGCTGATGGTTGTTAAATCCCTGCATGACGTCATTGCCAGGCAGATGGTGGGTGTGGTCTTCACCGGCTTGTTAAACATACCACAGCTTAAATGCTGAACAGCCGCTGCGATTCCCTGACGACAACACTCCCTATTTCCCTCAGTCTGGCTCACTGTTTCTCCAGCATTCACTTGGTAAAGTACTATTTTTTTGTGTGCTTTCATGTTGTTTCTCTCTTTGCAGCAGTTGTAATCTCTTCTTCTGGCTCAATTGAAAATTCAATAATAATATCTAATATCTCTTTCCTTTTCTTTTTTTCTTTGTTACTGTTTTTTCTGTGGACTTAAACACTGTAGGATATCTGCGAGTATCCTGCTCACCTGAAACCTTTTTGAGGAACTTCCACCAGTTTTCCTTTGTGAGGAGCTCAGCACACTTGGTGGTGTTTTTATTTTTTAAAGTAAAGATGTCCTTCCCGTTGGCTGTGTTCATATGTCTGTCAACTCTCCAGATGTGTCTGGGAGATGTGGCTGTGGGGGAAGCCATCACAACAAGTAAGTACTGATATGTACAGTATATGAAATATGGGGATCGTCAAAAGTTAGATGAGAAATATGATAACACAGAGAATAAACTGACTTAGTCTGAATATGTTATGTATACATATCTGAGTTATCTGTTATATATCTGATCAGGCTTTGTGGCTTGATATTTGTTTTAAAAGTTGTTCAAATTGAATGTTTACATATATCAGGAAGCAGACTCATTACAAACCTACCATTAGTAATATGTAGTGAATTGAAGGAGGCAGTCTATGACTTCCCAATAACACTGTCCTGATATCATTACGTAGATGGGTCTTGGATTAATAACTTTGATTATACATAGAGTTTAAGCCTAGTCGAATCAAGTAGAGCAAGTGTGATAAAGTGTCTTTGCGATTATATTATATAACATAGTGTAATACTTGTTGTGATTATGCGATTCTATTATATAACACAGTGTAATGCTTGTTGTGATTATGTAAAGATATGCAGCAGGGAAAACCTTTGTTCTGTTTTTGTATAAGAAAATAGGAACATAACAGAGCCTGTAAGACACAACGGATAGCTTAAAGTCATGACCAACAATCTATAAAACCAGCCAAACTAAATATATGTAGACTCCAGCTATTGTGCTTTTACTGCCTCAATGCAATGATACAAATAACCACATTTACAGAGAAATGAGGAAATAAATAGAGCTATAATACACTATTTAAATAGTTGACAGAAAATAAAGGCAAAATAAATAATATGGGCAACAACAATTCAAGGTAATGGCAAGGAAGTGAGCTATTTTATTCCGATCAGCTGGTATGATGCCATCTGAGACAAACAAGAATGGCACGAGTACATGTTGTACTGGAAAAACAACTAGCATTCATCCACTCAGACGGTGACTCTCTGGCTGGGTATAGTGAGTCAGAAGCTTTGGTTTAGCCAGCAGTCACAGAACGCCGTCATTGTTCAGATGCTGTTTACATTGGCAGAATGAAGCTTAGTTTGGAGTGAAAAATAATCTATCATGGCCACTAAGGAGATTTTAATCAAATGTGTGGCTGCTGTGAGTAAAAAGGGCTTAGGAGAGCAGAGGAAATTCTGGTTTGTTTAGACTCAATGGGATTAAAATTTAGTATATGTTCATTTATTTTAGATGTATCTATAGATATTTTTGGTTAAAGGTTAAGTATTTAAGAAGCAGCTTCCTGTGCAGTAGCAAATCTTGAGAACTGCATTCTCAATTACATTTTTATGTTGGAAATAATGGTGTCCTTGTAGTATATGGTAAGCAACTGCAATGTTTGTATGGGTCTGTTGCACTCTTGAACACTGGTAACTTTGTTGTCTTGTTGAACTATAATACATAATGAACTTCAGAGCTTAACAGGTTAGGGAATAGGGATGGAACATTCAGCAACTGTTACATGGCTGGTTTTCACTCAATGCTTTGTCACTTCTTAAGATAGGCTTGAAACATAAAACAACATATTTGGATGATGTTACCAATTATTTGCATGAGATCAGCCTGGTGACATCAGCAGGCTAACATGCTCACAATTGCAATGCTAAAACGTTTATATTGAGAAGGTGTGATATCGATCTTGTCTGTATGTAAGTTGTGGACTGACCCAGTGACGTTGACAGCCCTAAGGCTTCATCAGTGTGTGTTTTGTGGCTAAAATCTGATAAAACAAAAACAGAAAAAGCATAATTTTTGATTGTTTGGACCACCCAATGTACAAAAGCTGCAACCATTATCTCAAAATTGCCTTAACCCTAACCCTTGACAAAACCTTCTTTATATTCTTGGCCTGATCGTTGAGGCTCGTTCTGGCAGAATAGTCGAGACAGTTTGGCAGAGTGAGAGAACTGGCTGAATCCTGGGTTTGGTCCACTTAAAGTTTCTAAGTCTTTGAATGATGTTCTGGGCTGAAACAGCTAATTTTCAGGATGAAGGAGCATTTTAAAAACCCACAAATGGAGCATAGCGAATCATAATAACACTGACTGATTGTGATATTGGAACCAGTGTATGAGGGCATTTGTAAGAATGTGCTTCAATCCGTGCAAGATCATTAACGTACGTTTCACTTACTAATTAACATGTGTGTGTTTGATTTCCTCGTAGAAAACGTGCCTCTCCTTGGTGGCTGGCTTGAAAGGAATCTTGAGTCAGAGGAAGTTAAGGATGCAACTGAACACGCTGTGAAAGAGTACAACGCAAAAATCGCGAGCAAGAAGCTGTTCAAACTAGACTCCATCACCGCCGCTCAGACTCAGGTTAGTAAAATCCCATTCAACACAAAATGGCGTCACGATTTAATCTCATTACAGTGTCATACCATCTAATACTTCTGTCCCCTCATGTTATTAGGTGACCAATGTGATCAACTTCAAGATTGATGCAGTCTTGGTAAAAACCAAGTGCCTTAAGTCTGAAAACCACGAATTGAAGAGTTGCGGTTTGGCGAAAAAGGTACATGTTTAAGTGTGCGTTTTGCACATTTGTTACAATAATGTCTTGTAAAGCAGCATTAGCTCCGTATGTTGCACTCAGCATTTACAATAATGCTTTTCCGTCTCATTTTACAATACACAAGTTGCAAATAACCTGTTGCCCCTTGCATTAAGTTACATTTTGGAGATTTCCCAATTCCTATCTAATATATATATTTTTCCCCCTCTCCACAGCATGTGAATTGCCACTTTGTGGTGACATTCGACCCTCGCAACAACAAACATGAGTTGCAGTCTCACAAGTGCACCAAAGTTCCCAGGGTACAGGCCTAACTTTTTATATAGTTGGGCTTTGTATAGCTTTGTTGTATTTTGATACAATGTTGACTATTTTTCTGAATAAATGTTGAGTGCTGGGTGTGGTTCAGAGTAACTTGTAACAATGACATAGTCTCAATAAAACTAGTTTGTAAGACAGCTGACTTTGTTTGGTTTTATTTTCTGTCAAAGAGAGCACTTTAGGGTGTTATAGACAACAGGTAAAAAACGCAATTGTTCATAAGTTTACAGTTTTATATTTTATTTGGTTTAGAGTACACCAACAATTTCATTCGTGAATTATTTTTCACGAAGCCATGGTTGTCGCTTTTACACATCTGAAATGAAAAACACATGTCATAAAAATTAAAAGAGCGTACATTCATCGTGCATTACGACTACAAAGCATAAATCTGTTCCTAAAATCCCCCAGTATAACTAAAACGTCACGATGAAAAAAATACAAATCATAAACGGCATGCAATGACGTTCATTCTGTAAGGCAGAGAAAAGCCTTAAAAATATCAATTTAATATATGTAATGGAAAGCAGTGGATTATATTGTCTCTCTAAGGATTTTTGTACTTACTGCATTTGTATAATCTATTGATCCTGAGGATATCAAGATATGACATGCCATTCCTTTGTCCAATTGGCACAGAGGAATCCGGAATGGGAGCAATGGTGTCTGCCCCAAACGATGATGCAAAGAAAGATCTAGAGAAGAAAAGAAATAATGGGGAAGAGAAATGCTGGAAGATTTGGCAAAATGTATTTTTTCCTGATGCAGTCTAATAGGAAGAGGTAACAGAGTCCCTGTTTTTTCTTTTTACAGTTATGTTTTTTTTTTAAGAAACAGGGTTACACCTTGGTGATAACAAGTCATTGCTGTATTGACATCTCCTCAAATGTTAAAACAAATATAAATAAAATACAGGTTCAAGTGTTTGCAGATAACTGACAACATTAAAAACCTTATATGAAGGACAATTATTAAGGACAGAAAGAGAGGTTACCTTCCATAATGCATAACAGAAGAATAGTCATACGACATGTTCATTTTGTTGAAGTGGTTGGCACTCGCAGTGGAACAAAACATATTTGCATTTCAAGAAATCATAGTAATACTTTTCACAAAACATGTAGAAATGTACATATCGATCAAAACATATATGACAAATAAAATGTATATAAAGTTTTTATCATGCATTGACATAGGGAACAGTCTTAAAGGGTAATTTTAAGACCCACAGCTATTTCACTCTGAAATAATTTCCTCCTCTCAAACACCTTTTGAATATTAGTAAGAATAAATATCACTAGTACGTTCTTCTCCCCTTTATTCTAATGTGTTGATCAATATCAGTCAGCAGCCCTTCTCAATATTTAATATTGCTACTAGCCTTAAATATTATGACATTATATACAAGCCATATTGCCCAGCCCTATTATGGTGAGTACAACGAAAGGGAATACGAATTAGAAAAGTTAAACGGGACCTATCATGCAAAATGCACTTTTGTACGTCTTTTATACATGAATATATGTCCCCGGTGTGTCAGGGAACACAACCCTCTCTCTTTTCCTCCATACCCAAATCTCTAAAAACGGGGCTGCAACGAGACTGATACTTATTTGAAAATTGTTCTGACGTCAGAAACGGGGTGCTCCGCCTATATGGCCAACTCTCCACCAATCAGGGGAATGAGAGGTTGCCGTGGCATGGTAACAGCATGGTAACATGATGCTCGTGCCTCGCCCCCCTCCTTTGCAGGGGGGCGTGGTTAGCTGCAGCTCATTTGCCACAGAATCAGCCCTTGTGAAGACAGGGCTAGAAAAGAGCAAATAGAGCGAAATGAGGCATGGCTAAAATGCATGATCTGTTTGGTATTTTGAAAAAAAAACTTCACAGACATGTTTTGTACGGCCCTAAAATATATTATCCAAATATAGCATGATAGGTCCACTTTAAATATTAAGGGAGCAGCAACAAAAACAAAAATAAACCATAGAAAACTCATGTTCCCATTTCCTACTGATTTACTGTTGTAAAAGTGTGGCTGCTTTGGTAATTAAGTCTTACCTGATGGAACATTCTGCCAGTTGATCCGGACGTACCGGTCCCTTTCGCTCCTAGTGTGCTCATGGTGGAAGCCAAGTGTGTGGAGGAGCTCATGCTGAATGGTCCCACGATCAAGACAGCCATACAGGAACAGAGAAACCAACTGCCTCCCTCCGTCTCTGCCGATGGTAGCCCAGCACCTACGGGACCGTAAAAGACAGGGAGACAGCAGGTTTGTATCCTGGCAGACAAGTGAACTCATCACACTGACCAATCACCTCTACCCATTTCCCTCTCAATGCTGAGGTAGTCAGATTGGCCACGATGAGGCACAAAGCGAACGTAGGTTTTCTTGTGGAAAGTGTCCATAGCTTCCTTAATGGAGGCCTTTTCACCGTCATCTGTAAAGAAAACAAGTAGAATGTCAGTTTGTTGGAATCTATACAAAACAACGCTTTCTAAAAAACGATTAAATGCTTTATTGGAATTGTCATGAATGGTTTCTTAAATCCCTGCAGAAGTAATCGCTGAAGATGTAGGGCACTTCAACGAGTCCACTGGAGGATTTTGGCCATTTACACGAGCCGTTCGAGCATTTCATGGCATTCCTCTTTGAAGGAGCCACATCACCTTCTACCAGATTATGGCTGATGGCTGCACAAGACAATATAGTAGCAAAGTGAGAAGATGCACGCATTTACATTTGCAATATATTGTTTGGCAGTGCACAGATAAAAGCATGATTCAAAGAAACTGTGTTGAATAAATCAAATGTACCTTTATTTGCCTCTGTAATTCTTGATGTAATGTCCAAATAGTAAGGTTCCTCGACCTTCAAACCTAAAATTAGAAGACCCAGTTACCAGACATGGCTACCAATTGTGCAATATTATTTGGTAAACACCTGAGATGGAGGATTCACTTACCTTCTTTATGTGTACCTGTAGAGACACAAGGTGACAATAAGCAGTAGAAAATAAGTTATATTTTGACGTTTATTTAAAGCTCTGATGTATATATTTTTTGTTAGCAAAGCTATTTGTGTGATCGCTAAACCTCTTATCTGTAATTTACGCCAGAATGATTTAAATAGCCCAATATCACAAATCATGTTTTTACTTCCATTAAGCAGGGTAGGCTATTGGTTGAGTTTGTTGGTTTATTTGTCAGCAGAATTATGGAAAACTCCAGCCCCAATAAGCATAAAACTTGAATGTAGCTAGAATGGGCCATTACATTTGGAGTAGATCCAAATCATTTTGCAGATACATAAATGTATTTCTTATGGAAATGGCCTTGGTGGAGGTCTTTCCTTTCTAGTTTCTAGATCTGTTTGCACTTGATTTTTGTTTGATGTCTTCTTTTTTTCCTAATTAGTTTAAATCTTTGTTTCTTAATACATTTCTTGACTCAAAAGCCAACATATCATTTGAAAATCCCAGGTACTTGTGCATTCACACACAACCGCACAAACACTTCAATGCCAAATTTCCTCTTTCTTGAGTCTAAACTTGACTGCTAATGAGTAGGTGAATTCTTGCAGACCAACCGACCAGCAAAGCAACCTTTATAGTTACATCTGAAAACACTATATGAGCAGTGTTTTTAAGGGGATGTTGTGTATTGTAAGTCCCTGGTAGTTGTTATTATTACTAAAACGGGTCCGTGGGCTCAGAGAGCCATAAAAGGCCATTTCTCAAAATGCGTGAAAATGAGTTGAGGTCTAACTTAAATGAAATTAACGGAGGGAGAAATTCCCTCAGGTGGCAGAAAAGACCTTGGATAAAACTCCATACAGTATGTGAAATAGGTATGGACATGAATACATACATGTATAAGTTTGATTTCTTGATCAGAAATAACTCATGATGGAAAAGCTGCTATTCTTTACTGAAAGTCCTAGTATGAAATGATGAAACAGTTACAAAAAGACCAAATACACTGTGAACACAAAGGTACATACAAACAGTAAATAATGCCCTCCACCTAGAGGTTTCAAATGTCTTGGCAAATGTCTTTGCTCCTTCTGTCCAATAGGAACACAGCACATGTCGTAAATTGTATGCACATTTTCCCAATTACATGTTGGATTAACTTTATTGATGTACATATTAAACATGACTTTCACTCAAGTTAACATTGAGAAGAAGATAATTTGAATTTTGTGTTGAAACATGTCTCATGTCATCATTGATATGGTGCAATTTCAGTTATGCATTTTTTTGTGCTACAGTTGTTTGGACAGCTACTGTAAACTTATGGCCCATACTCCTGACCGCTTCATATAAAGTCTTTAAAAAAGGGCTTATAGAAGTCAGTTAAGGGACAATTTTCTTCCGAACAGGGTAAGTGATTTCTGGTGGCAATGGCATTGGTATTTTAACAATTATTTTTGCTTTTTTTTTTACATCTTTGGACCATGTTGTAATTAAGAGTTTATACTTTAACATGTTGTCCTGTGGGTATTTTACATACATCTGTCAGATAATTCATCAACAATTAAGTGTCCATCCTCAGTTTAAACCCAGTTGACAATAACATGTATTGCCATTATTTAATACTTCGGTAAGAAGGTAAAATAAATATACTCTACTGGCATTCAGACTAAACTTTCCTTTGAGATAGGATCACAAAACCAACATCTGTAAAACTCCTCTACAGTAGTAATGCCATGCCACACTCTTTCCATGTCTTAAAGGCGTATTAAGTTAGAACATCACATGGAAACTCTATCCTCTAATAAAACAACCAGCTACCATTTGTTCTCATTTAGTTATTCATCATGGCGGAGGAAAATTAGACTCAGCACTGCGTAATGTGAGGCTGTCTGGTGGGCTGGCAGACCTTTAAAACGTTTTTGCCACTAAACAGCCCGGGCACCACGGCTCACTCATCACCAAACCATTATTTAACCATTATTTAACCATTAGGATGGCTGCGTTTCCACTTGCAAGCACTTTCCTGGTTTACACAGACAACTCCTATTTGTATGCCTGCTCCATTTGATCAAATGGAAATAGTTTGGAAGACTTGTTCGAATAATTTAAGATGCATTTGGTTTCCCCAATACTCAACCTTTCATATTTGGTTTTAAAGTGTTGCTGCTGAGTCTTAGGGGTAGGCATTTGAACTCAAAAGCTATATCAGGGATGATCAGATATAGTTAATTGAGCGAGACTGGTCCCTTGGAGAGCATGAAAAGTCTGCATCAGGCACCGACCATGTGCACAAGGGAGCAGGCAAGCAGTCAAAACCAAGAAATAGGCGGGTAATGGAAACAGGCATCAAATGACGGTGGTCATTTTTTTTTTTTGTAAAGGATTTAGGAAAAGACGACCGTGGTTTTAAGAGACTGTAACTGAACACTGGGCAACATATTTATGATGCACCAGCGGAGGTTATTGATGCGTGTCTGCTGTGGGAAAACTACAATTTTCCTAAGGTGGACTACAAAAACACATACTTGGCCCTATGTGTTCTGATGTTGTTTCATATGAACTTTGTTAACGTGGACAACGGTGAAAATTATTAATTAATTTGATGGTCTTGCAACAATTATTAGCATAATGTTCATAGTTTGGCTTTAGGTTTAACATACCATACACATTTAAAAACACATGCATTTTGGATGTGAAATGTTATAGATGTACCATAACTTACATGTTCACAATCGCTTGTTTCCGTAAACAGAAAAATGTTGCATCACTTTAAGTGTTGTGGTCGCAAGGACTTGTGGGACAGTATTATCTCCTTCGCTTCTGTAAAGGATTGAAGCTCCATTTTCTATAATCTAGAGATGTTGAACAACTCATCATGGCTGGCATTTAAGTACTGTCAGAAAGCTTCCTAAGAGATAAAAAATAAGTTTGGATTGCAACCAAGAACTGAGGCTTGAGAGCTGGTGAGGCATAACAGACAATCTGGCAGAAAGTGGGTGCTGGATGGCTTATATATAAGAGCCTAATGAGGGAATGAAGAACAGGTGAGCAGGCAGGTGAGGAAAATCAGGAGGAAACTCGAAATAGCTGATAGGTAAAGCTGGGTTTGCATCAGGGGGATCTGTTATAAGCTGAAAGGAGCAATTGCAGCATGTTAATTAAAGGAAATGGAATTGATTAACTACATTTTATTGTTAAACTATATAGCTGTACTTTTGTAGTATTGAGAATTGAGTCATGCCTGTTACTTTCCCCTATTTCTGTATGAAGCCTTATTGTCTTGTTGTGTCTTTATCTAACATAATGGTGTGTAATTCTATGATAAAGAAATAAAAATAAAATAAAGGTTTGTTCTTTAATTCCATAACAAAAGGAAACATTTCTTCAAATGACAAAATTACTTAATAAAGTTAAAGACTTATTTTACATCCTTGAAGACCAGGTTACACTTTCAATTTTTTTTAAAATATATATATAATCCTATTTAATCATTTTTAATTCAATCATAATCCCGGAAAATCTTACTGCATAAACAAAGAGCACAAAGACACAAAATAAGTCATGTTGGTCCCACAAAGTATATTTATTAACACAAAACACTGATTTACAGTTATTTACAGCAGCATTTACAATTTCATCAGGAAATTATTTTTAAAAAAAAAGGAAGGAATATAGATCACCTGACATACAAAAATGACATAAGTGACAGTGAAAAAAACTGTTTCTGTCAGTTTGTCCGTGGTATTTTACCGAATATTCACCTTTTTGTTTCACATTCATATTTTTGCATCAATAACCATGTTATTCTATAGTTCTCCACAGCTACTCCTTCCTGGTGTTATGAGTGAAAGGCCTTCGTGTTGGAAATTGTCACACGCTTGTCTCAATGTGAGGTGACATCTTACGGTTCAGTATATGGGACAGGAGTCTATGCTGGTTGTGGAACCTGACAGACACACAAACAAAAAAGAACACACACATTTAAATATACAAACGCCACCAGTATGCAGCAAATGCAAACAAAGGGTATTTAGAATAATGGCGCCATCACCTGCCACAGAAGTGTTACTACAGAGGTTTTTTCAAACACTTAAACTATATATGGTCTACGATGAACATCTATTGACAAATGTTTTCAGGAGAATGAAGTCATGCAAAAAAGCAAACTAAATTATTTGTATATGATTGTGCACTCTATGGCTTGAGTATAATGACGTTGTTGTATTATATTTGAGGCCAGGAAAGTAATAAAATAATTCTGGTGATGTATTTCTAAATCTTTAGACAAGTTTACTCTTGTGTGTGTGACAAAAACACAAATAAAAAAAAGGGTCAGCCTCCGGTGTTTGGAATGAATAATACAACGACAACAAAAAACTAAAACAAATTCTCCTGCAAAAACCTCTTTTAATAATGAGCTCAAAATATTCACATTTGGATCCCAGGAGAGTACAACAAATAGTGTTTGTTCTCACTTGCCTTTCAGGGATTTAGGCCTCAAAATGCCAAAAACTTCGCATTTTCCTATTGATCTACAGGTTTCACTGTACATTTTCTCAATAAAGCAAATGGCATCCTGTATGGAAGTGTTTCAATGCAACAATTACAATTGTATACTCACTTGTTTTCTAATCTCTGTATCTCTCTGTTCTCCTCCTCTCTGAGTTTCAGTAGAACCTGCTCCAGGATAGGAAGCTCCAAGTTCAGATACTGTGCTACCTGAAAGAAAAAAAATAACCTTGTCAACTAAGACATAACAGGAGGGTTAAAGTGCATTTTACTGTTCTCTACTGCTAGACAACTCACGGCATTGCTGACTTCCTGTTCGTCCATGTTGATCAAGAAGATCTTCATAATGTCGTCAGAGGGTCCTTGCAGTATGCGCTCCCACAGGGGCTGGTCTCCGTCACTGAGCTTCCTCTTTTCTGGACGGACACACACACACACACACACACACACACACACACACACACACACACACACACACACACACACACACACACACACACAACATCAGTAAAGCATTTAGCTGTCTTCCATCTTGTGATTGTTAAATGTAATGTGTGAAAAGCCTTACCTCCACTCTGATGAACACAGTATAGAGCAAACTCCTGAGGGTCGTTCTCTATCTGTTGAATAAACACAGAAGAAACCTATTTACATCAATGACCAATCTTTGCTCTGGTTCACAAATTGAAGTCTATTATTCTCTTTTTAGTAAATCACATCCCTTTTCAGCCTATGTTATTTGTGTGTTTTAAATATTTATGATATATATATGTTTCTTAAATAAATAAAAAGCTGTATATGGCAGTGTAAT